AAAGCCCCTAAAATCCAGCGGACTAATCCAGCGGCCTAGCTCAGTTGCTAAGGCAAGCAACTGGCATTCAGGAGGTGTGTGACGAACCACTTCCCTACCTGTCTCTTATACACATCTAGATGTGTATAAGAGACAGCTCTCTCTCTCTCTCTCTCTCTCTCTCTCTCTCATTTCGACCTCCTCCTCACCTCTCCAGGACCTTTCCATGACCTCTATTTCTCCCCCCTCCTCAGTTTTCCTGCCCCTCCCTCGACTCCTCCTCCTCCTCCTCCCCGCCTCTTGTCTTTATGCTATATTTATCTTCCCTTTGATTGTTCTTGCTTCACTAGTCATCGTCCTCATCGACGAAGATGATGATGAAAATGAGGACGACGATGCGTTCTTCTTCATTTACTCGCTGGCCGGTTGGGAGTGGGCAGAGAACGGGAGGTGGGAGCGAGGGATTCAAGATCAACCGTCAAGAGGAAGGGTCAGTTAGAGAGAGAGAGAGAGAGAGAGAGAGAGAGAGTCCCCAAAAAGAAGCAAGAGCGATCAGACATGGAGAGGTAAGAGGTAGAGATATAATATACACAGTACCATGCGCAGAAGAGGACGAAAATGATGATGATGGGAGTGAGAAGTTGAAGAAGAAGACGTTGTTTCAATTACCATCCTCTCCTTCCCGCCATCATCGTTTTCGTCTTCCTATCCTTCTATCCATCAGCAACAGTACCCCCAAAACAACAAAAAGAAATCAACAGTACCCCCAAAACAACAAAAAGAAATCAACAGTACCCCCAAAACAACGATAAGAACGCAACCGTACCCCCAAAACAACAAAACGAAATCAACCGTACCCCCAAAAAAACAAAATGAAGTCAACCGTACCCCCAAAAGAACAAAAACAAATCAACAGTACACCCTGCATGTCAATCCAACCTAGACGAGACAGACGAACGGCTCGCCCACCCACCCCCCCTTCCCCCCAATTAGTCCCCCACCCTTTGCTCTCCCCTTTTCCCGCGGACCCCCCTTTCCCAGTCTCGATTTCTGTGTTTGCCGGTTTCCAAAGAGCAACTAATTTTAGAAAACCCAGTGCAACAGTAGGTTACCAGAGCGACAGTGGGTTTAAAGAGGTGTGCATGCAGTAGGGGCACCCAGGGGAGTTGCGAAAGGAAAGGTAGAAGGAAAGGGAGAGGGAGAAGGAGAGGGAGGAGGAGAGGGAGGAGGAGAGGGAGAAAGTAGTCCAGACAGAGAACTTACATATCGATGAAAAGACAACCTGAATAGCAATGTTTCTAATGCCCGACGTCGAGATATCCCTGGATTACGGATGCCGCTTCCATGCTCTCTCTCTCTCTCTCTCTCTCTCTCTCTCTCTCTCTCTCTCTCTCTCTCTCTCTCTCTCTCTCGCGGCACGCAGCACCCAGCGTCGCGGAAGGGGAGGATGTCAGGCGGGCAAGAAGACGGGGGTCTGGCGTTAGAGATGGCGAAGGTGCAATCTTTGGAGTTTGCCTAAGAGGAGGCGACGAGCCTGCGTGAAGAGATTGCCTACCGGCAGTGGGGGATGCAGAGTGCAGACAAAAGCGATGCGTTTGCGGACCCCACTTGTGAAAAGATGCAAAGCAAGAGTGCTAGAGAAAAATGCAAAGAAATGTAAGAAAATAATAATAATAAATGCAAAGAAGGAGAGTTAGAAAGAAAGGACAAAAAAAAAAAAAAAAAAAAATTAGAAAGAAAGGGAAAAAAAAATGAAAAAAAAGAAACGATCAAAAAAAAAAAAAAAAAAGACGCAGAAACACAATTACATGAACAGTGGCAAGGATGAGAAGTGCAAGTCGATTCTCCTTTCAGAGAACGACGACGAGCGTAGCTCAATTGGTACAACCATACAGTATTGGAATGTGGACGCGAGTTCGAATGCAGATGGAACCCGATGAATGAAAACTCGGCGAAAAGAGAGAAAAAGAAAAGATTGCGGGCCTACCGTAGCTCTGTTGGTAAGGCACGAAAGATGTATGCGTAATGCCCCTCAAGGAAAC